TAAAACAGTCACTCTGAAGTGATGTAGCCCTGTTAGTCCCAGGATATTAGAAAGACCAGGTCGGTGAGGTAATATCTTTTTAAGTTGGTCCAATAAAAGATATTACCTCCCCCACCTTATCACTTTAAAGTGATGTCTCTTTCCAAATATGTGATTTGTAATAGGATTCAACTGACAATTAAAAATGATGGAGGACCCTACACAAATAAACCTAGGGCCCTGGTTCCATTTGCAGGGAAGAGGAGCATGTGTGCACACACTCAGATTGTACTGTTGGGCCAGGCTGCTCTGTTATTTTGAGTAGATAGACAAAAATAAATTGGTTAAAGTCCTGATCTTATTCTTCAAAAACAAAACACCCCAGTGACTGGCTGTGTGAGAGGCTTCCATAGAGCAAACAAAATAACCCCTGACATAAAGTTTGCATAAGGTGTACTATGATTGAACAGCTAAAGATCTGCCCTTGGTGTAAAGCTCATTTAAATGAAGGCTGCTATTAACATATTCCCATAATCTCCTGTTCCCGACACTGATCTACACAAGACAACTCTTCTTTCAAGAAGTGGCTTTATTCTGTAGAAAGGGTCACTAAAGCTTAAGTTCAAACCATGTTTTTTATTTTTTTAAAAGTTGGTTGATGGGGAAAATCCTTGATTGAGCAAGCCTCTGGTTTCCAGCTGGGAAACACGACAGCCACTGCTCCCTGAAAACATGTTTCTCTTCAGGCGTTGGCTTGTCTTTGTAAGTAGCTAACTCTCCATTAACCTTTTTCCCGCTAGGTCATCCTATTTCAATATTGACGGCGCGAACTCTTCCTCATCTGTCCATAGCGTTCCCACCACCGCTGCCCCTCAGTCGCTGAAACATGGTGTTCAATCGAAGGCAACTCTGATAGTCATGCAGGAGAAACTCAATTCAGCATTCTGTTATTCGCACCGACAGCATCTGATAGCCAATGTTCTTGCCTCCCAGCAGCACTGCCAACAGTCATGGTTTTCGCTTGTTTCTTGTGGACCTGCAGAATGACAATGAGTCCCTAAGGCATTGCCATGCACAGCCCAAGTTAGTGATCCTACTGCACTTTCATCGTTGCTTCCAGCATCATGGAACAGGAAAAGATTATTACATGCTGAGCCAGAGGTGGTATTAATTGTTACCTAACAATACAAAGAAAGAAGGGAGCAAAGTACTTGGGCCTGATTCTGACTTGCCCCAGTGTAACACTGTTGATTCCGTTAGGTTCTGCCTGATGTACATTAGTGTAAATGGGATCTGGATCAGGCCCGTTAGGTCAGCCACTTAGCACTCATTGAGCCAGATTGACTGCTGGTTGTAACTCTACTGAAGCTAATAGAGTTATAACAGCCAGAAATATGGCCCTTCATCTTTAAAGAGATTTAGAACCACTAATCCATTAACTCTCCCCATGAGGTAGGTAAGTAAATCTCCTTCTCCCCAATTTACAGGTGGGAAAACTGAGACAGAAGCTGATGACTTGCCCAAGCTCACAAAGGGAGTGGGTGTCATGGCCATGCTTAATGCTCAGAGGTTCCTGACTGTTATTCCTGCCCTCAGCGTGCTAGACACACCTCCATCCCAAGGACCATCAGCCACATCTTTGTTTCCTGGCAGCCTTTTGCATGGAGTCATTTCTCACTCCTGAATGAGTGATCCCAGGAGCGTATCTGCACCAGACTGCTGGCCACTGCACCCACTGGGGTTGGGAAACGATACATTTCGCTACTAAAATTCCAAATGAAAGTTGTGTTTTAAATATATAGGACTTGAGTCACTCTGACACAGACCCTAGCAGCAAAAGTTTAGCCAGTGAGAACGGTCACAAGGTCTCTGTACACCAGTGCTCCACTGGGGGTGTAGCTAGCCTACATCCAAACAGAAACGGGCACTGTCCAACAGGAGAATGGGTAGGACTCAGCATATCCCTAGCTGGACTCCTCTGGTGGCCCAGCAGCTAGTCAAAGCTGTCCCTACTTGGTGGAATTCCTGATGGAGGGATTTCTGTGAATCAGCCCCCAGCGCTCCTCAGCCTCTGCTGGCCCCAGGGGTTCAGTTCCTGCTTCCCTGCCCCAGTGGTGCATAAATCAAGCCTGTAACTTTTAAGAGATCACTTTATATAGTTAGTGAAACTAACTAGTTTAAACTGCACACACGGGGCCAGTAGGAACAAGCGACGGCCGAGCTCACGCAGCAGGCAAGGACAGCGTGTGATAAAGGCCACGCTAATAAATCTGGAAGCTTTTTTTATGATTACCTCGGTCTTTATGTTGTGCCCCATTTCCAGTGTTTCCCAGCTACTCCTGGCTAATGCTCACTGAGGTGAGAGCCCAATGCTCTAAGACACAATTCAAAATGACAGCTCAGAAAGGGCCAGGCTGTGGAGCGCTCGCCCATTCTGGTGAGTGCTTACTCTCACGAGCAGTCTCCTTGCAACCACTGAGTAAGGGCTCAACCACCTGGTCCCGAGCCAGGAAAGAAACACTGCAAAGATCCTTCTTAGATAGTAATAAGAAAAGGTAAACAATATTTGAAATTAGTAGTTGGTCCCTAACAAAATCTCCCTCTCCTGTGAGTGCTCCAGCCAACCTTGCTGGTGATATTTGAAGGCAGCTTTTCCAAGAATGTGAGGTCCTAATGTGACCCATCAGTGTGTGAGACCTGTCCCTCTCTGTGCCTGATCTGCAGAGGCTGAGTCCACCAGCTAGACAACCTGGCTTTATAGCTCAAGCTGCAGAGACTCTTGCTTTTAGCTCTGGAGGTCCCTGGTCCAATCTCCAGTTTCAGTCCAGATGGCAGCCATCACACTACCATTAGGCAGTGAGTATTTCCAGCACTGCAGCACTTTCCCTAGTTGTACCCCATTATCTTGCTAGAGCAAAGCTTTCTGGGCATGTGGGGCTAGCTCACTGCGAGGAGGTGTTCACCCAAGTAACTTCGCAAAGTAAATTGCATAATGAGCAGCTATGGACTTCTGTTGAGGTGAACATCAAGATCTATTGGCCGGAGAAGTAACTGAGCAAAAACACATCTTGAGATTTGCTGAAATAACAAGTCAATATGTCTCGTTGCATATATTCATTGTTCTGATAATTCAGCTAGGCCAAGTGTACCCAACAGCTAGAAGTTTTATCCACACTTTAAATGAACATTTGAAAGGGCCGATGAAGTTAGAAGTCCATAAAATACTATTATTCACCTCCTGAAAGATTAATAATAGTTTCCATTGAATTCAACCATCATGAGACTGGTGTCTACCCATCTGCATCTGTGATCCGATTGGTTAATGTTGTTCCAGAACTCAGTATTATTGCTCCTTTGAGGAGGTGACTGGTAGAAATTTGCATCTGTTTTCAGTCCATGATAAGCCGGATTTTTTTCTTTCTTTTTGTATGTAACCATGAGCGAGAGAACGGCAAGCCTTTTGTTTGCTGTAGCTGAGCATTCAGATTGTTGGTATGTGTTACAGCGAGGTTGTAGTGAATTGGTCTGTGTCCACATGAAATGGCATTGATGGTGACATGCTGCTTGGAAGGGCCACTTTCTCCCCCATCTCTGCTTGCTCATTCTAATGACTGTTTTGTTGTGGAACTAGTGTAATACAGTAATGGGTAGATGTTCAGTTTAAGACTGTGAGGATGAGACTCCAGACTGTAACTTGACCCCACACGCCATGGTAACGGAGATTTCCACAACCCAGTTTTATTGAGGGAGACAAAGGTTTGATGCATTTCTCTTCTGTCTCAGCAGCTTTATGCGCGGGAGACTGCGGAATATGTCTGCTAAACAACTACTTAGTTACTGATCAAATTTGACTTGTAATATGTACTGTACATCAAAGTTATTTTAACTGTTACCACTGACAGGATCAGAATGCAAAGCACAGGGCTAATGTGTAGACATTTCTGATCAAATATATATAGTGTAAGTGGAGTCACCACTAGCCGTGTAGAGAGTATTGCACTGTACAACTCATGCTCAAGGAAGATCTCTTCAGTAAGTAGCCACAGCAGCTTTGCAGAAATCAGACTCTGATGTATTAAGCCCAAATTGTTTGGAAGAACTGGAAGCAATTCAGCTTGTGCAGTTTTAGAGCTAAACTATTGTGTATGGAAAATACTCAACTGTACCAAGAATGTAAGAAATCCTCTAATTTATTCAATACTTTGTTTCACAATGCATTTCACATTGACTGTTGCCATTGAACAAAACCTTATCTCAGGTCATTCGCATTCATCTCCTCTCTGCAGATTTTTGTTTTTTTTTTTAAATCCTTTGCATTTACTTAGGTTATTCAGTAATTGCCAAATGGGTTATGGTGCAGTACTGCAGATTCTGTGTCTTACAGTATTCCAATGGCTATTTACAAAAAATGTTATAGACTAAACCCAACGAGGTTAGCCAGTGAAAGATGAACTTTCCACTAGAATTTAATATGATAAATAAATCTGATGGGGGAGGGACTGAAAATGGAGTGGTTTAAAATTTTATTCCCAAAACATTCTTGATTTTTGGCTCATGTTGGTTAACCCCAATGCCCTAGCTAATGATGCTTACACAACGTAATGCTCGGGGCGGGGGCTAAATCCTGCACTACTGCTGTCACTGATCTATTCAGACCTTGTAATCTGAGGCCAACTATAAACACTTCTCAGAATTTTATTTCGAAAGCAGATCATTTTGTTGTAGCATGTTGCAATTACACATGTCTTGGCTACAATGGTTAAAAAAATCCTTTTGAATGAGTGGACAGTCAAGACTAGTATTTATTGAAAAAACAAAAACTAAATTGTAAGCACTTTTTTTGTAAAACCAATGTCTGTTTTGTTACATACTTTTAATGTTGTGCTTTGTAAATGTCTGATTTGTGTAATAAATAAAGTTCATGCAAGTAGAAGTGCTGGCACTTACATCAAGAAAATGATGTAATTCCATTTTATTTGATCTTAAAATATTTTCTGGCTCACGAATGAAACAGCAACCCACCCAGTTTTTCTCTTTTATTATTTTGTTAAAGGAGAGTTCAACAAATGTTCCTGGTAAATGGATATAATTTCCTAGTTAGCAAACTAGTCATTAAAGAATAACTGGTGTACATTATTACAATGATCAGTCAATATCAAAGTACTAGCAAAAGGAGGGTAAAGAAACACACCCAGACAGATAACTGGGACCTGGGGAAAAATGCTAAAATGGAGCTGAATGCATTCAGCACTGAATTTGAGGCAGCCTCTTTAGTAAATTGTTTGTATGTTTTGTATGTTGAGGCTTAATAATGTCACGTGTATATATTGATCCTACTACACTGCACACCTCTCAGGAATATTAGGATAAGTATAGTAAGCTTATTTCCATGGCTTCATGTGAACGTAGTTGATTAAATGATGGTTCCAGTTTTATTATGCTAACAAAGGCTATAAAACTACATTCACATAATGGTAGGGGCTGATCTAAATCCACCAAGACATTCAGACTTAAGGATGAATCAAATGATGTTTTCCAAAATCAGGGTAGAAGCTAAAACTGTGTTCACTGTTTAGGTTTAAATCCAGTTATTTCATCCCAGCCTTTCCGACAGGTGCGAATGATCCATTCATGTTCATCATCGTCTGAAAGAGAGAAAAAGAAATTGTCAAATGTTACAGATTCAGATCTGCTCTTTGCATAGAGGAGTCCAGATCAGAAAGGGTATTTTCTTTGAGGAATAAATGCATTTTTAAAATACTTCTTGCTTAGCCAACAGATCCTGTGTACAGTTTTGTTGGCATTTGCCAAGATTCAAACATATATAACAGAAGGACGCGATACAGGGTTTATGGTAATAGATCTGATCATTAGGCCACTTGATCAAATTAACTGTTTGGAACTTGTGCAAAAAATTGTAACACTTCCTTGTATATAGTATAATTTCTGGTCTCATGGTCATTTACAGTAGATACCCGTAAATGACCTAAATGAGGACGTAAAACTTTATTGATGTTGGTGTCAGTTTATGAAAATTGCAATTGGTGAAACGTCCAGAGTCAAAGCCCCAGTTCATCTGGATTTCTTTTACAGCTCTTCTTCCAATATAATGATACAAAAATGCCACCTTATAACCGATAGCAACAAGCTGACGTACCAGCTGATGGAAGTACTTTAGACAATCTTCTGCATCTCCCACAATTATTCAATGTCTGTCATGTTGTCATCTCTCCGAGCACAGAGACAATGTGAAAAGTGAAAACCAAACAGGCAATTTGGAGAAAACACCTATCCAGCAAAGCGTGAATAGAAATATTTTGAATAATTACAGAAAATTATAACTTGATAAACAGTAGTAGTTAGGGTCTTTCCGTTGAAGGGACTAAAACAGCCTGTCTGAAAAACCTGTTTGATAGGCTTTTACTTGTGTTGGTGATTGAAAAAAATCTGTGTAGATGATCAGATAAAAATATGAATGATATTGCTTTAAACAGTACCAGTATCTAGTTTCGTATTCAAATGAAACATACTGTAGCAGAGCTACTTCTGTTTACTGTCATCTTTACAAACTCTGATCCATGTTTGCAATTTGTGCTTCTAACCAACCTGGGTCCAACTGTCAAGGATTTTGTAGCAATGTAATCAGCAATGCTTACCTGAAAGTAAAAAACACTGACCTTGTCAATTATAGATTTAAAAAAAAAAAACGTCGCTAGTGAGGAATCAGCTTCTGAAGGGACACATCTGCTTATGAGTTGGGCCTTTATTATGGTTATATAGCAACATTTAAGTTTAAAAAGTCATAAAAATGCAGCTGTGCTGGTCTAAGGAGAGAAGCAAACAAAGGGTGTAAGGCAAAGAGGTGCCCCTTCACTAAAATCTTAGGTTTGTTCTTAAGTCCCATTGACTTCAGTGGGCTTTGGATCAAACCCTATCTGCTCTTGTCTTTTCCTTTCTCTGTTTCCCTTTCCTTTTTCCCTGCCATCTTAGCATCTTTTTTAATTCATGGTCAAGTGACACAAGTGCAGGCACTCCCGGCCTGTGGGGTGCTGCTCGTGCTGAGCCCTGCTAGAGCACTGCTGAATGTAGACTTAACCAACGCACGTGCCCAGGCTTCTGTCCCAAGTCGAAAGGGTGGCACTTGTCACAACCCCCTTTACAAACAGCAGTCAGAGATGCTTGTGAATCGGAGGAGGTTTCCCCCAAGAGCACACTACTGTGTGTTACTCTTCCACACACAGTTACTAATTATACGCACAGCAGTTATTTGTGCTTGTCACCTCCCTCACAATTCCACACTCAGGGATGATGTTTTGTAAAAGCTTACTGCTATGAACGGGGCTGTGGAAAAGACGGCTGTATTGCCCATGATCTTTCATTAGTTTAGCCTGTAGATGTGCTTTAACTGCTGTAACGCATGATCCACTGATGTCATTTTGATAAAATTCCCCAAGTGGATATATTTCTTTTTTGTCCACCTCAGCAGGTACAGGATACATCTTGTGCTCTATTCCTTGGCATGAGTGCGATATTAATAAAACACACAATTACAGTGTTTTCTTTCTGTCTCAAAGGAAATAAGCCAGGAGAAAATAAGCACCACTGGAATAACTTTTTTAAAAGGATGACTAAAAAGAAGAGAAAAAACACTGAATTTGTTTAAGGTCTGACACTGAAGTCCTTAGGTAGACACATCCCACTGAAAGCTGTAATAGGACTGCAAAGTTGGCCCCTATGGTATGTCAATACTGCAATAAAACACCTATGGCTGGCCCAGGTCAGCTGACTTGGGTTTGCAGGGCTCGGACTATGGGGCTATAAAACTGCAGTGTAGATGTTTGGGTTCATGCTGGAGTTGAAGCTGTGAGACCCTGCAAGGGGGGAGGGTCCCAGAGCCCAGGACAGGGAGTATCAATAAATCATGTGCAAGCTGTGATTATTTTGCATGTCAAGTTCTATTTCTGCACTCCAGATGCTCCGATATTACGGAGATGAGGCCATGAAGTATCTAGATGAGCTAGATAGTGTCCAGACTGTTAGTGTCTATGTGATTATGTACCTTCTCGATGTAAGAGTTGTTACTCTGTACTTGTAATAATTGCAAGAAAATTAAATTGTCTGTTTCTGTCAAAATGAGGTAATCAATCAAAAACTCCACGTGCTAAACACCACCTGCATCCATTGCTTCCTTTGATAAGGATCGTATTGCTCAGGTGAGTTCCATGAAGTGAGCAAACTGCCTTCCTGGTAACGAATCTGCATTGGTCAGGGAATTCTGGTGCTCAGCTGACCAATATGAAAGGCACAAGATGTTTTTGACTTCAGTTCATGAGTTTTCAACAGGAGCCTGGTCCATCCAGCTTGATGCAGAAAGAAACATTTTTCAATAGACGACATGCACCTAAGCCTTTTCTTCTAAGGATTTTAGTCTCTGATCCAGGCCCAGCACCACCATAGCTCAGCTCGTGCAGCGATCTGATTCTATGCACAGTAAGTATCAGCAAATAAGCATTGAGAAAGACTCCATACGGTTTTCACAAAGGCTGAACTGTAAGGAGATGTCCCAATGGAGTCCGTTATTACCAATTTACACTTTGAATAGAAAGAAGAGCCTGTCTGGTGAAGGGACTACAGCACATTGCCCTACCTTAGGGCACCCTCTGCTTCATTCAGAGGAATAGAGCAATTACCCCCACTGGAGCTGATCCATTTATGATTATCTGTATTACTGTGGTGTCTAGGAACCCAAGGCACGGCCCAGGACCCCATTGTGCAAGGTGTTGTACAAACAAAGAACAAAAAGCTGGTCTCTGCCCCAAAGAGCTTACAAATCCAGGTTTTGGTCTCTGACCGTGGCCGGTATCCGCTGCTTCAAGGCAGACGCCAGAAACCCCACAGTAAGAATTATGCAATAATCTGTACACAGGGAAAGCGTCTTCCTACCCACTCTCATTTAGCCATTGACTTATGCCTAGAATCCTCCTAAGCTTTTGGCTGCAATAACATCTTGTGGCAATGCGTTCACCCAGTTAACTAGGCATGGTGTAGAACAGCATTTCTTTGGATATTTTAAGTTGGCGGCCTTGCATTTTCATTGCATGTCTCCATGCTTTGCATTACGGGAAAAGGATATATAGGAGCAACTGATTTACTTTACCTATACGTCGTTATTTTGTATGCCTCTATCATGTCCTCTCTTATTTGTCTCTTCTCCAAACAAAACCACTGTAACCTTTCTATATTTCTGATCATATTCATCACTCATCCACGGACGACACCTCTTTCTTTTCTGAGATCGGGCGACCAGAACTTAACATTTTCTTCTGGGTGAGGGTGTATCAGAGGCTGGCATATTTTCAGTATTATTTTCCATCCCCTTTCTTATGTCTCCTAATATTTTATTCCCAGCTGAGCTGCATTAAAAAGAGAAAAACTTGCTGAAAACTGCATACAGAGTTGAGAACTAACCCAAGTGGAAAAGAAAGTGGAAGTGAGCTGACAAGGCGCTGTCTGCAAACTTCCACTCACGCTCGCTGTCCTACTGACTTCTAATCAGTGTCTTCAATGGGGCTGCAGCCCTGGAAGGTGGGTAAAATGCACTGGGAGCCACAAAAAAGAACAGGGACTCCATATCCACAATGAAGGACCTTGAGCAAAATATCTGGAACCTCCAGGCCTATTATCCAACTGGTGGGCACCACACAAATATTCCTTAGACTGAGGTAAGGGAAAATGAAGGATCCTATTCAGGATAGCTAGAGGAACCACAAAAATACAGATCAGAATGGCTCCAGGGATTAGCTATGTGTAAAGAGGCAGAGAAATATTAGAACGTAAAGAGTTAAGCTATGGTTAAACATACTTTTGCCACGCTAAAGAAGACTGGTTGATAATTACTGTAGTTTTAGGGCTATTTGAATCAGTGCAGCTGCAACCTCTTCAGTAGTAACCCCTGAAACAAGACAAACTGGGTTTATTGTACTGAACAAGTCTTAAAGCTCCTCCCTGATTGTTAATAATTGGCAGCAATGGACTTAACAGCCTCTTGACTACCCTTTTTACACTCTACCTGACTGTGCAGCTAACAATTTAAATCACAGATGCCGATCCTTCTTTGTGGCAGCTGCTTGTTAACTACACATTCCCCTTTTTCTGTCGCTAGCGGCTTCCATAACCCTGCAACACCAGGGTTAGACTGGAGAATCACATTTCATCAATATTTAAAATGGAATTAAACCTTGACGTTTGATTAATGCTACCAGATAGCTTGTTGTAATTACTATTTTACAAATTCCAATTGTTTGAATATGTTAATATGATTGTCTAAGCACATCTTCACCTTCAGAAGTAATTTTCCTTAAATTTTTTTTTTTAAATACAAACTCTTTAATCAACTGTAAATTATCATCCTGGGCACAATTAGGTAGTATGTGGTTCTTCACATTGTGTGTTGAATTTTATTTCAGCTCATTTATTTTTAAAAGTTTATTCTTTCTCCATTTTCCTCAGCGGCCTCAGTAGAATATACATTCAGAAAATATATTCTGCTAAAATGGGCTACTTTCATGTTCAAATTTTGAAAATAAAGGAAATTGCTTTGTATGAAAACATTGATAAAATCCAAGGAGGCAAAGTTTGCTTAATAAATGCTCTGTTGTTCTAAAGTTGTGAAATCTAATAATTTGCATGAGATCTACTGTAGTTGAGTCTTGAGGCAAACTGAGATCTTGTTAGATGAGCCATTGGAATACATCATTTGATTCTTTTAAATGATTTCTATGTCTTTTTATTTTTTGATCCAAACTGCAATACTCTACCTTCCAGTCTGCTACAAGCCAACAACAGGCCTCCACCACTCTACTAACCCTATTTGGATCTTTCTATAATCTCCCAAGGCATTAATACTTGGTGACTCTTACAAGGAGAAAGCCATGCACTGTTCCCTTATACATACTAAATGTTAGAACTTGATTGTCTGCATCTGTGTTAGGGCCTGATCCTGCAATCCTTAACCACAAGAGCTGTCTCGCTGAAGCTAACGTGACTACTAGCATAAGTAAGAGCTACTTGCCTTGAGCAAAGGTTGCAAAAGAGGGCCTTTGCATCCTTGGAACAGAAACTATGTCTTCTTCTAATCTATGTTAGTGCCAAGCATATTCTCAGTGCTCCGTAAATAACAACAGCTGTTCATTGTCTCACATACCTGACTCCTCCCATCACCCATGGTGCAGTTTATCGTGTTCTTCCATTCCACAATTATAGCCATCTGTGATAGCATCACAGCCATCACCTCTACTGCCCCTCCCCAAAAATCTCCAGCACCCCCTTCCTTGCCACACCTAATCTCAACAACATCAATGTTGGCAAGAAAATGGAAAATATGTATCCAATTAACCTTTACTTCCACACGCAAAAACTCACCCTTCCATTTCCATTTAATTGCGTAAATCCAAAATGGCCTCAAAATGAACTTTCCATCTCCTACAAAACTTGTTTTCACATGTACTGTATAGCTGAACACAAGCCCCTATACTGTTTGGGTCAAAACTTTCTAAGTGGATTCGCAATGGGATGGCTAACACACAAACAAAGTTGTTGTTCTTGGCATGCTGCTATTTGGAATTTAAACCTTCACAAGTTTCAAAGCGACAATTATATTAGGCTCAGGAAACCACAATGAACAATATATCAGCAAAGGCTACAGTTGTTTAAATGATTGCAGTGATTTAGTAATGTGATGCATGTATTAATATTAACACCATGTTAGCCATGCTAGTTACAGTAGAGAGAGCTAATCATACTGGTTAATAAACTGCTTTATTGAATGGGGTAAATTGACTAGTAAAACTTAGAAGCCAGATTTAATTTTAAAAATGCTCTCTAGGTTATCTAGCATAGAGCTCTCAATTATAGCTGTAGCTTGCACAGCCTTTTGCTGTGAGGAAGACATAAGTATGTATTTTGCAGTCGTGTCCAAAATGGGCTAGATGCTTTCACAGGGAAGACACAGTCCCTGTACTACAGAGCATACAATCTGAAAAGACAAGGCCAATGAAGGGTGGGGCAAAGGGATACAACCAAAGTGATCGGGGTGATGACAGGCACACAGCTACTTCATTATATGAGATTAGGGTATTTTCTCTTTAAGTTAAACACACTGAATTCCTTCCCACCCCCAGTCTTCCCATTCAGCTCCCCTGACCTGGCCCCACAGCAGTCCCCAGTATCAATCCCAGCAATCTTCTCCCCGCTCTCCTATGTCTGGGTTCCTTCTCACCGCCCAAATGAGCGGTTTGTTCCTAAGGTAAATAAGTGAGTTAAATAAACATGGTACTTGGTAAGTTTCTTGCTAGTATTGCAGAAGATGTGATTGTGGTATTCCTCAACCCTTACTCCTGTATGAAATCCCACTGAAAGTCAATTGATATGCATTATTTGTTAAATGCCATGTATCAGCTAGGCACAAGACAGACTTTAAGACAAGCCCTGCCCCCAAAAGCTTACAGTTTAGAAGACAGTCACAGAAAGATGAGATGAACTAGGAGACCCAGAGGAAGGGGTTTATAATAACAAATATTCTGTCTCTCTTGTTCATCTAATATTTTCCATATTTTCTATCTGGGACCTTCACAGAAGTGGGGGTTTTGGAAGGTGGGGGAGTGGGACATTGGAGATTAGCATGAATGTGGGGCAGCACAGAAGAAGCTAAATGGTGGGAATAAAAGAAGGGTGGAGAAAGGAGACATTGGGGAACATAATAGGAGACAAGATCCAAGACACAGTTTGAAGTAAAACTAAGCAAGACCTTGAAGTCAAGGGAAGCAATGGGAGCAACTTGGTCAGATGGCGGACAAGTAAACTACTTTTTGCTATGGCATTTTGGTGGGATTAGACTGGAATGATAGGAATATCAGATAGTTCAGAAAGAGGAATGAGCAGCAGCCAAGGCAGGAGATGACAAGGACAACTGTTTTAGCTGTTGGGGAAAAAAAGCAATAGGCTACTCAGGTTCAAAAGGATTACTTGTGTGAGCAAGAGTTATAGGCTTGTACCTATATGTATGTACAGACCTGAGCACAACTTTTTCTTCACCTGTCTTCGCTTGTTTTTCAGGAGAAGTAAGTTTGCCAGCCCTAAGCAGAGAGATCAATGAATTGCAAACAAACTGCATTCGTCACAAAAATATGTAAAATTTAAAATTCACTGGATTTGTCAAATTGATAAAAAAAAATCCACAAACAATAGACACAATTTGTTTTGTTCAGAGCCTAGAGGTAAAGACTAAGCACTTCAAATTAATTTCTGCAAAAGCTTTTTTTTTTCTCTAAACAGGTCTGGATACCATTCCTTGAAGAATATACTGATTACCAACAATTTTTCAGAGCTTTACAAAAACATTATTTCTTTTGTTGTGTGAAACGCAGAATCAGCCATCTGGCAAATGCCCCAGAGCTAAAATCTTTTACACGACATATAATTCAAAATGATTAAATATACAACAGCAAATAGCTGTAGCATTGCACTTGAAATAGCATGAACTTTTATTGCCGATCAAAACTGATTTCTTTAGCTTAACAAGTATCCATAGAACAATTATTTGAAGAGCTTTTAAGAGTTTCAACATACAGGAGCTAGAGCTCATCTACATTCAGAATCTTAAATCTAATAAACAAGAAACAAATATATAAATTACTAAATAATCTTGTCTTATAAGTAGACATTCAAATCACTAGGAAGCTAAGTTCAGTCGAAGAATGAAAATATTATTTTCTTTTTTGTGGTGAAGGGCTTTCCTTTTCCTATACCTTTGCAAAGAGCATCTGCCAAAAGAGTTCGCAGATTCTTAGGCAATGACTAGGGGTAGTCTGGAATCAGAGCATTCACCCCAGGGCCGGCTCCAGGCACTAGCTTCTCAAGCAGGTGCTTGGGGAGGCCGCTCCGGAGAGAGGCGGCAGGTCCAGGTATTCGGCGGCAATTTGGCGGACGGTCCCTCACTCCGCCTGGAAGTGAAGGACCTCCCGCCGAATTGCCGCCGCAGATCATGATCGCGGCTTTTTTGTTTGTTTGTTTGTTTTGGCTGCTTGGGGCGGCCAAAACCCTGGAGCCGGCCCTGATTCACCCACTACCTACATCAACAGAATGGGCAACATCAGAGGAGCACAGAGGAGAATGATGTACAGCAAGTACAGTCCTTCTTTTCCTGCAGTAGAACAATTTTTTAAGTTTAACTTGCTGCCTCATATCTAGAAAGATCCATGGGTCTGCAAGATTGCCAAGTCCTCGCCCCTCTACCAATTCTGATGTCAGCTAGAGTCACCGGTGGCTGAGAGACTGAGCACACAAACATCTGCTCACATTTGGTACTTGCTAAGAGTGGTATGGAAAGTAATACACTGTGCATGAATAACACATGATTTTCAAATAGTTATGGCTTTATTTCTTAACTACATTTCTTCAGACAAAGCAAAGCCCACATTCCTCACTGAGTACTCTGTACACACCATATCTTAGTTGTAAGACAAAACCCCTGAAGACAAGAAGGGTGCACGGCGTTCCTCAGAGACTGATGGGGAGGAACCCCCGCCTACCCCTGGGTGGGTGGAGCCATGACACTCATGCCTGACCTGCCAAAAGCAGAGGGGCAGGACAGGAAGTATAAAAGGCAGCTCAGTTGGGCGAGAGCCGCCAGAGGAGACAGACAACTCCTGCCCGTCACTGGGGCACGAGCCCAACAGAGACCTACTCTGCGCCAAGGACCCAGAGGTGCTGCCAGAGCTGCTTGCTGACAGGGACGCCAAGGAGCTGTTTGGGGCTGCCATTAGTTGTATACCCCAGGGAGATGGAGGACAACCCCGAGCAACAGGTACACAATGACGGGAGTGTAGGAAATAGCCCAGGGACACCAGACTTTAGTCCAGTTGTGTTGTTGCCTGAATCCAGGTCAGCATGTTTTGACTGGATCCCCACTGACTCAGTGATGGAACCATCTGCTACTGTTAGGGCCCTAGGCTGGCACCCGGTGGAGTAGGGTGGGCTTGGGTCCCCCTACCTCCTGCTGCCAACCCCACCTCTGGGGTGATAGCCTCTCTTAGACCAAGGGGGCCTGTGTTTGTCTGCTGTCTGGCAGGGGTAGGACGTCAGACTGTTTGGTGCTCCGCCCTGTCTGAGGGCCTGAGCCCCGAGACTGTTTGTGGCCCTGCCGAGCCTGAGCCCCAGATGGCTTGCTGTCTGGCCCTGCTTAGAGGGCCAGCGCTTGAGAGATTGCTAATTCCCCAGTAAACCTTGCCTGAACAGTGGCCCAACGTGAGGGGGCGTGGCCTCCCTCAGATACCGACAGGGAGGGATAGCCACACTCTTAGTGAATGGATTTTGTCCTTGGATGATCCAGAAGGGATAAATGGAATTTCTTCAAATTTTCCAAGATGATTCACTTCCAGGTTCATTCAGACCAAGCATGAGAAGTTTCAGTCCCAAGGGTAATGTTAGGAGAAAGCTGCAAGCATGTGATTATTGAGGCTTAGAATTAAAGTACCATCTCAACCTTCACTATAGAGTCATATTAGTGACATGTAATGAAACTCTTGATGTTCTAAAAATACAGCTGTTTAAACTACAGAATAAAATAATACTCCTGACTTCTAACCTCTACTGGTTGTAATAATTTACTTAGAAACTCTGCACTTGAGCACTCTGGGACTTTTCCTTTAAGTCACAAGATTCTAGGCTTGTCGAAATCTTATTGGCTGCTTTGTGACTCCAGCATTAAAAAAACCTTTCCTTTCAATAAATAATAGCCTGTCTTGAGTCTCTTGGCCAAATTCCGCTCTTAGTTACACATGAGTGAATCCATAGTTAACCTACTGATTTCAATGAACCTACCCTGGATTTACACTGGTGTAAGTGAGAGAAGGATTTGTCTCTGTCTCCTCTCTAATGTTCTATAAAGAGACAAAGGTACATCAGGTGCAATTCCACATGCAGAGGGCCAACCCCAAGGCCTATGCACCATTTAAGTCCTAGAGGAGGAGCATGAAGAACAGGCAGCAAAGCAGAATAGGAGAAGCAGGAGCAGGGATTGCACCAGTTAAGTTAGCATCAGTAGGACGGAAGCAGAAGGGAAGCATATTACACCAAAAACATCTTTATTTTGTTATCAGTGGGGCAGAGCTGCTAGTAACTCTCAGTTATTCCCTTTCACTCCACCGCCTCAGCAGGGAATGACTTCTACTTCTAACTGTAATTTCTCTTTGAAAACTATGGTGTCTAGTGACTACACTCCCAGAATGCCATAGCTCTCCTTTAACCCTGGAATTTACTCTCCATTTGACAGCAAATCTAAAATCTCATATTTTATGCTTTTCATTGAAAGATGCAAAACTCTGGATATTCATCTTCAGGTCTTTGTATTGGCCACTCAATAAAAATGGTGTCAGGAGTATGAGTTCTCAAAGGCTATATTCCTTTAGCGGCAGTAGCAGGGTCTAACTCCAAAATGACTGATTGAAAAATGTGAACAGGATTTCTTCTCACAAATAGGTATTTCTGCATGTTCTTTTTATGTCTGCAATTTTGTGTATTAGATAATATTGGGGAAAAAAGAAAAGATCCAAAAAGCACATGAACAGACTACAGAATTTTCAGTACACCCCCAGGGAAGAAATGGTTTATAAACTGAGAAATAATTGCAAATCTTTTTTAAAACATTGAAATCCTTGACTAGTAACACTGGGAGAAATGAAACCATTGTTTTCATTATGCACCCTGGACCTGGTCTCAACTACACTAGGGCCCCGTTGCACCACTTGGCAGTGAGGGGCCTTAATGTAAATGAGCCTCAGGCCCTCGATATTTGTGAAACTGAAGTCCTGCTAACTGAGGCAGGAATCTCTATGATATGCTGTGTACACACATTGCATTAAAGAAAAGCAAACTGCAACAGATTCAAATAGAGCCTTCTCTTTTCCTTGCTAGAAAGATGTTTTGATTCATTGATTGTTTGGCAGGAGTGTCAGTGCTAAAGGCAGAGTGCCTCCTTTCCCTGCTAGCTCAATCAGCAATGAAGCAAGCGGCTTCACAACAAACAAAGGTGAAAGGCTGGGGCTGGAGTATCCTCAAATCCCACTCCCAGACCTGAGGAAGATGGTGTCATTTGGCTAAACCTGTCAAGCTGTTGTAAGAGCTTCCTGAATGCTTCCTACCATCTGCTTTTGATGCTTTCAAGACTTGGACAGAAGCCTGGAGGTTTTCCTGCTTTTTCCTGACCAACCTATAAAGGAATAGTTCTGGATCTGTTCCCTGTCATTCCAACCTCTTTCCTCAGTTTCTTCTGCCTACAGCTGTTTTTTTTTTTAACTGCAGTGGCCTTGTGCCCTGAATTATTTCTCTTGGGGAAGTCAACATTCCTCTGATGTCGAACAAGTGCTGGATCTTTCAATTGTGTTCGTGTTCTTAGAGGAAGGGTATGGCTACATGATACATTCCTCCTTCACACCCATGTTGACAAATTTAACTTTACGCTAGTATTGGATTCTCAAAGGAATGTTAATAGAAAAGAGATCAGAATAATCTACTGCATATTCTACTTATAATTATCTTGTTAGACTGCATTCTATGATGTCATGTTAGTGAATATCGATTGATACAATCTGTAGGCTATAGAAACAAATGTAGCTAAGGACAATGAGTTCAAAGCATACATTTAAAAAACAATAAATTGAATTCCTAGGCGTTCCCGCATATACTAATCTGTGCAGGTTCCTGTGTTTTTGGAAAGCATTTTACTTATCTTACTCATCAGTAGGCCCACTCTAGTATTTTGGATCAATGCCATTTGTAATAATCTAAATCAGTATTTATTGAGGGTTTATGAAACAGGCTAAGTACTATAGAGTATATGATACCTCCACAGTTCATTTAGTCTCCCCTCTTCCCCTCCCACAACAGTATATCCAGACATGATCCTGCAAGTGTTAGAATCACAGAATATCAGGGTTGGAAGAGACCTCAGGAGGTCATCTAGTCCAACCCCCTGCTCAAAGCAGGGCTAATCCCCAGTCAGATTTTTACCCCAGTTTCCTAAATGGCCCCCTCAAGGATTGAACTCACAACCCTAGGTTTAACAAGCCAATGCTCAAATCACTGAGCTATCCCTCCCCCAAGCACTGACACAATCCAGCAAGGCACTTAAATATGTCCCTAATTTGAAGCAAGTAAGCAGTCTCACTGCAATCAAAAGGACTATTCCCATGCTTAAAGTTAAGCACATACTTAATTGATCAGGGCAGAGAGCTTGACACCTTGCCCATTGAAAAGATAGATATCTATTTTGAAAACACTTTCTTGCTGGGCATCATAATGGAGAATGAGTCTGTCTGGGTTTAAAAGCTATTAAATATGAATCAAGTGCATTTATTCATATGTGCCTGTGAAAACATCACTTATAATTTTGTAAATAATGTGCAGGATGGTTTATACAACTTTCCTTGGAATTAACTAATTGATACAAACAATCCATGTTTGAAATATTTTAGCTCAGTAGCTGCAGAACTTGAATATAGGTTTTTAAATTTCAACTATAATCATGCATGCTAGAATATATGTGAAACAAAGTCAACTTACACTGTACTTCAAGATGAATAAAACACATACCTGCGTTCCTCAAAAACCTGAGTTTGTAGTCAGTGACAACTCTGGTATTAGTATTATAGAATCCATCACCACAGTCATAACAGCCTTGTGGAATCGTTCTGGGAGGATCTAAATTTGTAAGCTGAGAGATACCTGAAAAGACACAGTATAATTTATTATAAAAACAAAAAATCCCATTTTTTTTACAACTATAGTCTTTTATCAAAATAAAAAATGATAATAAATATATATTATTTTACATCTCTATAGCACTTTCCATCACAAAATCTCAAAGCATTTTATAAACTTTACTAAATTAAGGTTTCCTATGGTAGGTAATTATTATGACCATTTTGCAGATGGAGAAACTGAAAATGTTTGGCATAAAAAGGAAGAGATCTTGGTTATCCTTACTCACAGTCCTGTGATTTAGCCCATAAGACTAATACTATGAACATGCAGTGAAAACTCCAAAAAAAGGCCAAGAAAGTTTAGCCATGTCTTAAAGAGACTTGTCATTGTTAAAATGTTGTATAGTAAGCCTGCAGTTCACTATGCCAATATATTATTCAGTGATTATCACATAATTTTTTCACCTTTTAGTCATAGATGAACTAGTAAATGTGTCTAACAGACAAATTTTATAGGCTGGACATAAAGTAAGTATATATTTTCGTATCCACTCAAAATTTGTCATTTTCAAGCCACACATTTCATGTACCATGCTGTTTGTGGATTTCTGTTACTCTTTCAGGTACTTTAGAACATTATGCAAAATTATGAGTGCAAGATAATATATCTTTTTTTGTTTTATGTCCCAGTTCTCTGTAATAAAAATATGTCTAGAATGCAGTGAATGTGAAACCCATAAAAAGCTTAATTAGATGTCAGAAATTGCTAGGTAACAAATGTCCTGCCCTCATGACATGATCACTCAAGAAGAGACTATTCACCACATTTGTTAGTGTCATGTGGATGGAGTTCTGAAATAAACCAGAATATTCCTGCTACAAGTTACTCATGTAGGTGAATTAATCTCTCTTAATAAACATAGTTGTTGGTTTAAATCCTTCCAGACACAAATGCAACACAGTACCTGCTGGTTTTAGGCCGGAACAGATTTCTGTATAAAATCTTCTGTCATAGCCATCACAATAATGCCATTTTTTATCTTTGAATTCAAGACCATCTGCAAAGGTGTATTTCCCCTGCAAAACAAATTCAAGTACCGAACTAATAAGTGTGATGAATGGAGTGAAGAATAACAATCTTTTATATCCATTACCAAGGATGCATGTTATCTGAGAATAAATAATATACAGTTTTGCGCCACATTTAAGTGCAGATGGAAATGATGCTTGCAGATCCATAAGAACCACATTCCATAACCAAATCATTTCCCTGTTCAGTGGGAAATAGCTATTGTCCATGCAATAGGGGAAGCCAACATTGAGAGTCAAAAAGCCACCAATGGGAAAGGAGGTGATTTGAAAGCTTCCACTTATTTCATGATACAAACATTTCTGAATGTTCAGTCTTTGAACCAGGGAGATTTCCCCTAAAGCATATTGGCAGTAACCTTTGGGAGCAAAGGGGTTTTAACTTTCTTTTGATACAGAGCAGGGATCAGCTTTTAGATAAGATGGGCATACCCCAACCCAATCAGATTCCTATGGCTGCAGCTGGGTTTGGCATAGGTGAACTTCCAACCTCCTCGTGTTCTATTCCTATGTTTCTAAGCCTTCAGCATCACATCTAAAGGACTACTGATATAATACCTCTTTCGATATTCCGCAGTCCCAGATTCCTTCATATTTGCTTCTATTAGGAAAATACAAGGTTCCTTTGCCATGAAACATTCCATCTTTCATTGTGCCATTATATTTGGTTTCAGTTGGGAGAGTGTAGCGGCCTTTCCCTTCAATCCTGTGAATGATAATCAGGAATTGTTTAAGAACACTTGACTAGATGTCCAAAAAGGCAAAACCCCACAACTGACGAAGAAGACCATACTGGTTAAAAAAATGACCTGGTTTGGAGGGGAAGGCAGCTATAAAAATAATTTTAAAAATTTACAAATGGAAGAAAGGGGAGATTGCTAGTAATTAATATAAATCAGAAGCTATGAACAGTAGAAAACTGATAACCATTTTTAAGCACCCTGAGAAAGGGTGGATAATAATGGCTGTTATTTACAAGGCAGCTTTCATCCAACAACCCCCACCAAATGCATTTCAAACTGGATTTACAACCAGGGATCAATGTACCCACCATTTAACCACAGCCATTTTTGGGAGTTAACAGTCCCAGCAACATAATTCAAAAGTTTAGGACAGGATGTGAAAACACCTTTTGCAACAGGAACTACAAGTGGAATGCTAGGGAAACAAAACTGAATCAGCCTTTAAGAATTTGGCAAGGACAATAGGGCAAACACGCCTAGCTTTGGAAAAAATAAAAATAAAAATAAACACCACCTGCCATGGAATCTTTAATAACCATAAGATGTCGGGTTTACATCTCATCCAAAATGTGACAACGACGACAGCAGCAAAGCACCCTCTATCAGCAGGCTGTGACATTGGACGGAAGCGTCTAACCTACTGAATCACCAATATCATTTCCTGCAGCATTTGTACACTATTTACAATTATTAATAGGGAATGTCCTAGACTCTTCCTACCACTCTCCAGTGTCTCCAACAAGGCAGTGTGGTTGAGCGATGAATAACACGAAGCCGGTTTATCCTCGCATCCCCCAGCATGGTAACTTTAGCCCCATTTTACAGATAGTGATGCAGAGAAGTTAAGGCCCAGATTTTCAAAGATATTTAGGCTCCCAAAGATGCAGACAGGTGCCCAGTGGGATCTTCAAAAGCACCTAGATGCCTAACTGCCATTGATTTCAATGGGAGTTGGGAGACAGACGATGAGGCACTTTTGAAGATCCCACTAGGCACCTATGTGCATCTCTAGGTGCCAAAACACCTTTAGAAATCTGGCCCTAAGTGACTTGCCCAGGGCCACTGGAAGCTGTTTCAGGAGCAGGATTAGACCTCAGCTATGTCACTTCCCATCCTGTGCTGTGCCTCTCTCGCACTAAAAGGTCCCAATTGCCAAAGAGGTCCCAACCTGGGCTTGTCCTTCCACTCCTGCAATTCTGCGGGCACAAGCAAGCAGGCGTGCAAGGGTAGTGCCTCTAGGAGCTTCCCCACTTGCAGGTTTTCACACCCAGAGATTGTTCACGCTGGGGGACTGTCACACCTGCATTTCACACAGTGTCATGGCCCAGCACCGTGGGGTGATGGCCCCCGCGTTCCCCACGGCTGCCCATCCCCCCTCGACCCCAGCCCCCACCTGCCATGCACATAGTCCCCGAGGTAGGTGCTGCCCGTGACCTCCATGGTGCCCGCCCGGGACGCGGCCTGGCCTGGGCTCAGCTAGGGGGCAAACTGTCACCATGGTAACAAGACGGCGGGCGGGGCATGAGGAGGAGGAGGAGGAGGCGGGGACAGAGAACAAGCCCCGCCCCCACGTAGTGCACCCGCGGCTGACCCGCTTCTCGTTGGCTTCGAGGTGGCGCATGCGCACTAGTCCCGCGAGACCTGGTGGCGCATGCGCAGTGGCGCGGGGCCTGCCTCTGTGCCGGGAGGGCGCCGAAGGGGAGCTCAAGGAGACCGGGGCGCGGGCTAGCGCCATGCCGGGCTCGCTGCAGGTGCCCCCGCTGGAGGAGCTCGATGTGCAGGAGGTGAGAGCTGTGTCCACGGGCGGTCTTCCCCTCCGGTCCGGGGACCCCTTGGCTGGTGGCGCGGCCCCGGGCCCCTGCCTCCGCCCGCCCCTCTCTTCCCCCGGGCTCCGGGCCCCCTGCCTCCGCCCCCTCCGCCCCCCATCTCAGGCTCAGGTTGTGGTTGTTCATGGTGGGGTCACTTGCCCTAGAGCGGTGAGAGCAGGGTGCAGAGAGCAGACCCCGAACCCAGCGGGG